AGGTAGAAATACAATCTAAATCAATAGTTGATTGCCAACAATCCCTTCAGGTCCTGGCAGAACATAACAAGGCAACCCTTGAATGGGTGCCGGGACATGAGGGAATATTTGGAAACGAGAAAGCAGACCTCCAAGCAAGGAAGGGAGCGGAAAAAACTCTTATTTGACCAGAACCCACATGTGGTATCTCATACCAACATGTTAAATGGGTGTTAAAGGAACAAACATATAGAGAACACCATCAACTCTGGTTGGAACTTCCTGGACTTACATAGTCCAAAACATTCATAGAGAGGTCATCCATGAGCAGACAAAATCAACTGCTAAACCTCAGCAGAAGCGAACTCAAGGCCGTAATAGGACTCCTTATGGGACATTGCGGCCTTAGAAGACACTTAAATCTCTTAGGGATAACTGATGACTCCCTATATAAAATATGTGAAGAGGAGGACGAAACTCCTATTCACATACTATGCCACTGTCGAAACGTTAAATGGAAATGAAAATGGTACTTTGGGGTACAATATCCGAAACCTAAAGAAATCGCGAAAGCGCCCATCAGACATATTTTTAAATTCATCAAGAAAATCAATCTAATGGGATACAATAAGCCTAGAGATTCAGTACGAGTGGGCTTTGAACCACGCCCCAATTCAGATAGATAGATAGATAGATAGATAGATAGATAGATAGATAGATAGATAGATAGATAGATAGATAGATAGATAGATAGATAGATAGATAGATAGATAGATAGATAGATAGATAGATAGATAGATAGATAGATAGATAGATAGATAGATAGATAGATAGATAGATAGATAGATAGATAGATAGATAGATAGATAGATAGATAGATAGATAGATAGATGCTACTGTCGATGAGATGTTAGTGGCCTTCCGAGGAAGATAATAATGTGCCTATGCGATGCCAAAATGCAAAATGTCAATACAAAAAAATTCAGTGTACCCACCCTTTATGTACTAAAATTGGTATCACCAATTGAAAATACTAACAAAAACGTAACTGGAGATAACTGGTTCACATCCATTGAGTTAATAAATAAATTAAGGGCTCGAAAGCTCACTTATGTTGGAACATTAAAAAAAAAAAAACAAAACGGAGATGCCAGCTCAATTTTTGCCAAACAAAAGTCAAAAAGTCGGTACCGCAACATTTGGTTTTACTGGAGATCAATCGCTAGTCTCCTACGTGTTTATGAAAAATACAGCCGTTATTTTAGTCTTTTCGATGCATAACACGGATGATATTAATCCAGTCACTCAAAAACCTGAAATGATTAAGTTCTATAACACTACAAAAGCTGGTCTAGAAATGTGCAAGCTACTCATGTAATCGAAGAACTTGTAGATGGCCGCTGACTCTTTTTAACGCAATTCTGAATATAGCTAAGGTTAATTCGTACATTATTTTTAAAAGAGTTAACCCAAACTCAAAAATGAGAAGACGAGAACATGTAATATCTCTGGGAAAGGAACTCATTCATGACAACCTGGTAAATTACTGAAAAACAACAAAATTTCAAGAAAATTGCGCCTCACAATCGCTGATATACTGAGTGTGCCAATACCAGCGGAAGAGAATAATAGTAATAAACAACAGTTGAAAAGAAAGAGATGTACCATGTGTCCAAGATCAAAAGATGTAAAACATTCAACAAGTTGTTCTAAATATCAAAGTTTTGTATGCAAACAACACTATACAAATACGATAGAATGTACATCCTGCAATAACAATGATTCATTGTAAGGTATAACATACCTGTCAGTTTTGACATGTAAAATTGTAATGATTTTTTTGTTTGTTTTAGTAGCCGGCTGAAGTTTAAAGAAAATGATGTTATCGCTACAAATGCTGTTTGGCCGTAAATGTTATTTTTTTATTGTAAGTTATAGTTTTGACATGTAAAATTAAAATGCAATTCTTTTGGTTTCAGAGGGTCGACTAAAGGGTATACGAAAGGATGTTATCAGAAACAAAGATTTTTAACTTATAGAGATTATCAAAACTTGATTCTTCAGTTTTTGAGCAATGCCTACGCAGTATTCATTGGGATAACCTTCTGTATCTTAATGATATTGAAAGTAAGGTACGCTATTTAACAGATGCAATATCTACAATTTTCGATGAACACGCTCCTTTTCGAACAGCTAGAATAAGTAAACCTAAAGCACCTTGGTTAACTCCTACATTATAACTCATATTTAAAGAACGAGATACTGCCCTAAGAAAATTTAAATTAAATAAATCCACTAAAAACTGGAACAATTACAAAAGACTTCGCAACTTTGCTTTAGCATCCTTGAGACGAGAAAAATCTGCGTATCTAGAATTTTTAAACAACCAGTCGTCTTCTAAATTTTACAAAGCGCTAAAATAAATGAAAATTCAATCGACAAAAAATATCGATTTACCTTCCTCACTTTCCAATCCTTTTAAAATTAATGAATATTTTTCCTCTGTGTTCCAAGACAGTAATGAAAGATGCTTGGATTCAATTTTATTTTATAGAAGTAACTCCTTTAGTAGAGATATTAAATTTCACTTCAAAACAATAACACTATCTCAACTCTACACTATCATTTTAAATATAAAATCAAATGCTGGTGGTAATGACAATATAAACATGTCAATGTTAAAATTGTGTCTAAATATTATTGATGTTTATCTGCTACATATTATAAACTTATGTTTAGAACAAGGATATTTCCCAGAATGTTGGAGACAAGCTTTGATAATACCCTTACCTAAAAAGCACAATTCTAGTTCATACAATGAACTGCGTCCAATAAGTCTACTGCCTCTAATTTCAAAAATTCTTGAACGTGCAGCCTATTTCCAAATATACGAATATCTTTGTGAAAATAATATAATCCCTTTGCATCAGTCGGGTTTTCAAAAGGGTTTCAGTACTTCAACAGCTTTGGCACATTTAAGTGACAATATTTTCAATAGTATTGATAAGAAAAAAGCAGGTGTCCTAGTTCTACTAGATTTTAGCAAAGCGTTTGACACCATTAATCATAGTCTTCTTATATCCAAGTGTCAATATTATGGATTTGATAGAATTTCATTAGGTTTCATAAAAACATACTTAAGTAAACGATCACAGTTAGTTACAGTAAACGGTCAGAAATCAACATCCATTCAAATCAAATCTGGTGTACCACAAGGTTCAGTCCTAGGGCCCCTGCTTTTCTTACTCTATACTTCGGATTTCTACAAACACGTAAATAATTGTGCAGTCCAATTTTTTGCTGATGACACTCAGCTGTTCCTCGATTTTTTGTCGAATGAAGTCATTACTGCAGTTTAAGATTAATCAAGATCTTAAAAAAATTGATAACTATTCGTCTGATCATAACCTTCACATTAATGCTTCGAAATCCAAACTATTATTATTCTGTAGTAAAAATGTTAGACAATATATAAAGAACAATACAACTCTGATGATATCTGGTGAATCTATTCCACATGAAACTGAGTCTATAAATTTAGGGTTATACTTTGACGATCAAATGAGGTTCAGTCAACATGTCAACTATGTGTTACAAAAGTGTTATAGTGGTCTTCGCTTGCTTTATTCTAATAAACACATCCTACAGAACCAATCTATAAAACTAAAACTTTGCCAAAACCTTGTAATTTCAAAAATATATGGAATTGTTGTGTATTATCCTTGTTTAACAGCTGCTGATCGTAACCGTTTGCAAATTATGCAGAATACATGCTGCAGATTCGCAAAATATTTCCCAAGCCTTCTCCCAAACTGGCTGGCTAACTGTTAATAATTTATATATATTTATGTTCCTTTCTTTTCTTTTTAAAATACTTTCTACTGCGTCACCATTATATCTTATGAGCAAATTAACTTTTAGATCGTCTACGCACAATGTAAACATAAGAAACAATTTTAATTTATCAATGCCTCGTCACTCTAGTGCTATTTATAATCGTAGTTTTTCGTATAACGCGGTTGTTCTGTACAACACTTTACATACCGATATTAAAAAATCACGATCTCTACCTGTTTTTAAAAATGCTTTAAAAAGGCAACTCTTTATTAGTCAAATGTAAACTGGTAGATATAATGAGCTACTAATGTCAAATTGTATTGATAAACTTTTAATATTATAGTTATTTAAATGTATATGTTTTGTTAGGGTTAGGTGTAAGAATAGCCACAGGCTAAACCTCGCCCATGCTAACTGTACAAAAATGTAATTATTTTGTGCAAATAAAGACCCGTTATTATTATTATTATTATTATTATTATTATTATTATTATTATTATTATTATTATTATTATTATTATTATTATTATTATTATTATTATTATTATTATTATTATTATTATTATTATTATTATTATTATTATTATTATTATTATTATTATTATTATTATTATTATTATTATTATTATTATTATTATTATTATTATTATTATTATTATTATTATTATTATTATTATTATTATTATTATTATTATTATTATTATTATTATTATTATTATTATTATTATTATTATTATTATTATTATTATTATTATTATTATTATTATTATTATTATTATTATTATTATTATTATTATTTATTATTATTATTATTATTATTATTATTATTATTATTATTATTATTATTATTATTATTATTATTATTATTATTATTATTATTATTATTATTATTATTATTATTATCTCCATAGTTCCAATTTGGCCATTAATTTTATTTTTAAGAAGTCAAAACTAAGTATATGTCAAAATAACACAGTTTTTTAAATATGTTTACGTATAAGACACTTTCAGTTAATTTTTGTTTTTATTACTATGTCGCTTTCCTATATTCCAAATAATATAGAAATACTCAAACAATTGCAATTTTTTTATTATTCCTCTTAAAAAAAATGGTGTGACCTATGACCCCAGGATACCAGTTAAAAAATTGCTTGCGTACCAGTTAAGTGTTAAAAAAAATATTTTTACTTACTGACAGACAGATAAAACTGAGTCCCAATCTCGTACGGCTCCCAAACCAACCCTTTGTACCGGGTCTTCTCCTTATTAGTACCGTAATCCGGTGGAGACGTATCTTTGCTACCAGGCGTCGGCGCATTGGGATCCCCGCTTTTGGCAAAGTTGCTTACGAAGTTGAGCATGGCCTCTGCGATTCCCAAATCTTGGCGACTGAAGTTTTGGGGGAAATGAGGCAGGCCGCCGACCAGCGGCAGTCCAAGGATGTAGGTGAGGTCTTCACCTCGGATGCTACCCAAGCGCTGTGAAAATAATATGTGATTTATTACAGTCGATAGGGAGATGAAATTAGAGAAACAGTTAAATTTCTGAGTGAGACTGACGTTAACAAAAATTAAAAAAACACTAAAACGATTTAATGCTGGAAACAACCTTTACAGTTTAATGTTTTGAAAACGATTTTAAGTACAAGTTAGCATTTTTATTATAATATAAACTTGATGTAGAATTGGAGCAAGTATACAGTAACTATATGGGTCATTTTCAAAAAACACCCTCCTATTACTGTTATTGACTTTAAATAGTCCCAGCTTTCTTAAACATTATCCGAATTCCGTTTTTATTAGAAAATGTTAAATTTTCACGTAAAGAAGATGTATCTGCATAGCATTATAAATTGACTACTTCATAAGGTCGTCACTAGATGCCATGTTTGAGAAAAGCCCGCACACTTTTTACTTTAGCGTATTCTACTATCTTCATAAGATTCTTCAATTATCGCCTTGACACAGTGGCGTACGATTTTAACTCACCTGAGGATAATCGCTATCTTTAGTCTGGTATCCGAAATGAAAGAAAAACGTCTTCGCCCCCCTCCTGGCGTGCAAATACGCCACCCGCACTAACGGCGACACTGTATGCCCGTCACTCAGCGCCTCCATAGTCGAATCGCGGATATTAATAGGATGTTGGATCGGTTTGTCCCAGTCGGTGTATTCGTTTTTCACAGCCGAAAAAATTTCGTTCAAGTGATAGATGTACGCGTTTCGGATGTACGTCCTCAGCACGCGGTTCCTTTGGTCCTCCTCGAACCCGTACTGTATGTCGTTGGCACTAAAATCACTGTAGCTTTCCGTGGTGGTGGTACCGAGCATCACCTCGCACGTGATAAAGTTCTCGCTGGCGTGTTCCATGGCATATGCCGGGTCCACGGACTGCGCATCCGTGGGCAGGGAGGGTGCTATGCCAGGCATAAAACGTACTTTTTCCAGTTGGACGTCCAGAAGAGCTTGAAGAGGTCTGGAAAGAAAAAATACTATTAAAGTACAGTTCATCAAATTTCTAGAGGCTTTCGACGGCTAGACAGAGAAAGCACTACTGACAGGCATCCCGAAGGATTTACGCAATGAAAGTATTTCACTATTTCATTCAGACGTAAATGTCAGATGTAAATTTCGCTAAAACATTTCTTTTATTTTCGTTTGTGTTTTTTGCTCATTACAGTTTAATAGAACCTAAGTTTAATAGCAAATTAAGAGGCCGCGTGATTAACAGTCAATCTCGCGAAATAATAGCCAATGTTATACAGTTTATGAGAAGAGAAGGAAACTTTAATTCACTTTCAATACCATTTAAAAATGTAAATGATCGTGTTGCTGCAGCCACAGGAGTATCTAAAAACACTGTCGTCCGCATTTCTGGAGAGAAAAAAAGAATCGATAACCGTGAGATATCGGAATTTTCATCACCAAGAAAAACCATTAAAAAACCAAAAACAGTTAATGATATAGATAAAGCTGCACAAGAATTAAATTTTATGTTTTTTTTATTAGATAGCTATTTTTGTTTCTGAGTTGTGTTCATTTACAGGCTCAATTTTTTTCCGTTTCTCCTTTTTGATTTTATATGGGGTTTCAAGTTGTTTTTGACTTATTTCGACGTAAATCACAACAACACACTTTTTTAATAAAGCAAACAAGTGTTAAGAGGTATATGTACGTGTAAACTACAATTACAAAAAATTGATATGAAACCACCAACAAAAATGTAAAGCTAGCTTCCGTACTAGAACATGGTGTCATTCGTCGAGATAATGTATCGTTTTGTTTAATAGATCAAGAAATGTAAATATTCCCCTGTTATTTTTTATAAAATTATAAGAGAAATACATTTTTTTCTAAATAGTATAGTTTATTATTTTGTAGAAAAACAAAATTTCGAAAATTTTAGTAATGTTTCAGAAACAACCGTTATTAATAATAGGTACCATTTTCCTTAATAAGGTAGAAATAAAATATAAACTATTTCCACGATTTACAAAGGCCTACAAAAAAATTATAGGTATTTTCCGCTATCCTATAAAATTTATATTTTCTGACTCAATTTCAAAAGGTTGAAGGAATTCCAAAGCACCTTTTATGGCATAATAATTATTTTCAATTCTACATACTATCTTTAGCTACTTTTAAAAACGTTCTAAGAAAGTCCAATCAGACCAATTTAATCCCTAAACTATTCCACACTTTTAAAATTTAATTACCTAAAAATATTAAAAACTATTTAAAATAACTTTTTTAGCAGACTGTACAATAGCTATCTTAGTCACACGTAGCGCGTTCTCTGTCTGGGCGTCGAACACCTCTAGAAATTTGATGAACTGTAATGTACAAATGAATATTTCAGAAATCGGTACCTATGGAAGATGACGTCATAGACATTTTTGAATAACAGAAATATGGTTCACGTTATACTTCTTTAAATTAACTATCTAACCAAACAGGTTTAGTAATTGAATCAAACAATGTTATTGTTATTTGTAATATTATATTTATATTCAAACTGACGATCTCTAACTACGATGGTTTTCCTTTACAATTTTTAACACTCATCTACAATATACTTGGCCATAACAGTACTGCTAACCATTTTTTGAAAGGAGGTTATGTTATACATTTCTGTTGTTCTAAATAAAGTTTCTTTTAGTGTTCATTTGACCTTGGGTAACAATAAGAAGTCACATGAGGTGAGAGCCGGTGGTTAGGGTTGTATGTATTAACACAGGGATCTAAATAGTTGACTAAAAACTTCTTTACAAAAAATGCCATTTGAGCTGCAACGTTGTCCTGATGAAAAGTGCTGACAAAGAGCAAATAGCTTCCGAGAGTTAGCAAATGTTTTTATTTTAGTAAAATTGAAAACTAAGTGGTGAGATTAAAGGGCGTCAAATGAATTGTAAAATTTACAAATACAAAAGGTTTAACCACTAGTTTACATTTAAACCCAGAAAGTACCAGCTAGAATGACTGTAAGTTCACCTCATCTCGTGACAATTGGGTATTCACCGTGGTTAACTCAAGTCAGAGGAAGAAGTGGTCCGACAAATTAAAGTTCTACAAAGGGGACGCCAGGTTTAATTTCAACGGCGAACATCCTCTAATGTGCAAAACAGCCAGAAAATTGCCTAACTTAGCTGGTTTCTAGATTGAGTCAAACAAATAAGTAAAGGCAGTATGTAAAATAAAACTAATTTATTCAGATTGACTCTATTTTTAATAATAATAAAGTACGATTAACCCGCACAAATTTCATCTGCAGAAAGGGCATCCAAAAAATACAAACAAATTTAGGGCTTGTAAATCTATGCAAATAATTATAAATCACAAAACGCTATAGTTGCAAAGTGCAAAGACTAAAGATTAATGGCTCTACAAGAAATAAAAGAATACCAATATTACTTATTAATTACTAATATATACTTTAATCAATATAGTAACATATTTGCTCATAACGTATTTATACAAGTATTACATAATACAAGTATTTCTCCAATTTATCAGTTAAATACTTAAAATTAAACACGGCAAACAGGACCAAAACCAGAATCCTGTAATCTCTGGTTTTATATGGAACAAATAAACTTTGCTTGGTCCTCGATATATTCAGATTTTTTGCAGTAAGTGTATGCTGAAGGCTTCCTAAACTTAAGTAGAGTAAATACCTCTCTGTATGACGGTTGTTTACTTACGATTTTTTTGTCAGAAGATAATTCTTAGCCTATCTTGCCAGATGGCGAGAAGGCGACTAACTGCTACTGGGTAGCCAGGATATAACTGACTGATTTAAATAGATCGCCATTTTTGATGCACGCATTTCCGTAGCTGGCACTTTAGAAGTTGTTTAAAGCACATGTGTCAAAATAATTATGAAATAATACACGATCCTACAACGAGTTCGTATTGTTAAAACGTTTTATTTGAATAATGGGTCGATGATTGCCATTATACGGAATCTACGACAAGAGTTTGGCTGGTGAAGTTAAAGACTTGCCAAGATCGGGTGGCTTTCGAACTGTTCGTACCCCGGAAAATGTTGAGAGAGTGCGTGATAATGTAGTGAAGCGCCCTAAGACCTCTACTAGACGTCGCTTTCAAGAACTGAGCATTCGTCGCACGTCAGTATGCACTATTTTAAAAAAGAACTTACACTTGCGACCGCACAAAATTCAGTTAATCCAAGAGCAACAGCCTAGAGATTACGAAAGTCGCTGTGAACACAGTTACGCAATTTTGCAGATTAACAACCAAACGAACGATTTTTGTCGAAAAACCATAATAAGTTGAAGCCCATTTCTACATAAACGGATTTGTTAATAAACAAAATTGTCGTATCTGAGCATTAGAGTCATGCATCAACAACAACTTCAACCCCACAGAGTCACAGTTTGATGTGGAATATGGTGTGGAGGTGTCATAGGACCTTACTTTTTTGAAGATGCTGCAGGTAATTCTCTTATTGTGATTAGCGAACGCTATCGTGATATGATTCAAAACCTTCTGGCTCGACAAATTCAACAACTTAACCTGCATAACGTGTTGTTCTAACAGGACGGAGCCACTTGTCATATAGCAAAAATCTCTTGCGAGCTATTTTTTTCGATATGGCGATATCAACTAGCACCCAAGGTCACCAGATTTAACGGCTCCAGACTTCTTTCTATGGACATTTCTAAAAGATAAGGTTGATATCAACAGGCCCAACACTCTAGAGTAGGCTGAAGAACAATATACGGGAAGTGATTCAAAATATTCCTCCCGAAACCTACCCAAAGATTAAGATAGAAGAAATGGGCGTATTTTAAATCGTCTAAAAGACAATCCAAGATAAATCTATACCACGTAGATCACAACACGTAGATTACACCACGTAGATCAAAACCCACAGAAGAATCGGGTACCACAGAAAACTAAAGCTACAGGCACCACACAAAATCTAGGTACTAAAAAATGGATATCACAAAACCTCCAGAAAATTCGATGAAATAATAACTGTCATGAATAAAATATACCCCAAAAGCTTAACAGAAGTTTCCACAATACAAAATAACAAAATCCCACGCCATTTAAGTTGCTAGTTCACTGCAATCATTATAATTATCATTAAAATAAATAATTCAAGACTGAACTGACTAAAATCTTTCCAAGCCACCCAACAAGTGGTAACCGCAATTTGTGGTTCGTATATGTATTTTTTTTAATCGACTTTACTCGGACTGTGCACCTGAATGAGCAGTAAAATTAATGCAGCTATCATTTTTGACTGCAAATTAACGCGAATCTATTTCATTATATTATAAACTTTGGATTGCCATATCCCTTTCAGCACCTGCCTACACGATTGTGTAGATTTAGTTTCAAATTCAATTACAACTCTAAAATCGCGAATCCGAACGTTTTGTACAAGCGACATCGTTTGTGTGGGTATCAGTTAAGCGTTGAGACAGGCATCAAGAAACATGTGTTTGTTTAGGTTATCTATTCATAGTGTTTTATTTTTCAAGATGGACGGCCGACCTTTTCGCAACAAATGTAAGTACTATTTTTTAGCAACAAACAATAATTTAAACCTAATACTGCATGATTTTAAATTATAGTAGTATATTGAAACAAAATGTTTTGTCTAAATCTCTCGTTAAACGTTGAACTTACATGTTTCTGTAGGCTAGTCGTGTGATTACGTGAGTGCCTTTTTAAGATTATAACCTTAATAAGCAGCAAGATGTGAATGAACTTTTAGAATTAATGAATAATGATTCTAACATAGAATTTGATGACACAGATGCTGATCCAACTTGGCTCCATGAAAGTCCAGTTCCATTAAGAAATCTTGGAAAGAGCGACTCAGATTTAGGAGATGATGACACAGAACAGCCACAAAATACAATGAGTCAAGCTACGCCAGGTCCTTCTACCGTAGT